TGATTTCTTATTGATATATAGTTCTCCTTATTTTACAATATTTATATTCTTTCTAGAGTTATATTTAAGATACTTGCTATGAGGAGATATAAATTAGTATAAATTTTAAAAACTTTTAAACAACTTAAAGATGAGTAGAAAATAAATACCTAAATGAAAAGAGTTAAATCAGTTATTTCTAGTTCTATCTTTTATATTTTTTTTCAACTTCTTATATATTTTTGAAAATAACTCTTTATTAATTAATTTATAATAAATATTTATTAAAATACTTATTATATTAGTTTCTATTTAAATTACTATATTCTAATTATTAGTTCTATATTTTCTTTCTGTTAAAACTTTTTAAAAGTAACTTTATAATTATTCCAAATTATTAACAACACAATATCTTGGAAATGGCCTATGTTTATATCCTACTTTTCATTACTTCAAAAAATAAAATATTCAAATGAGTTTATTCTCATAACACTCACCTAACTGTCAGTGTTAACCATATACTATTCTATTTAATGGTTACAAGTAATAAGTAAAATATAATTGACCTCCTATCAAAAACTAAAATAAAAAATAGAAAAATTGAATTAGACATGAAATTATATGAAAGTTCTATCAAATAATCTTTGATAACTCAAATAATATTAAATTATAGTTTAATCTATTTAAACAAAATTGGTCAATAAGGTATATTCATAACATTTTTATTATTGTTTGTCATTTCATCTCATTATTGTATATTAATAATTCACCCTCTTCTTATACTATTTTGTTTGATTCTTTTATTTTTAATAAAAATAAATCAAAAACAGAAATGAAGAAATGCTATAACTTATTAACAAAAAAAGGATAATTATTCAGAAAAAAAACATTTGTACACATTTTATAAATAACACAAGCGTTTATTTATTTCATTCAAATACAAAAACAAAAAAGAGTTGTTTATTCAATTACTCTTCAAAATGGAGGTGAAGACATAGGAATGGCCTCTCCATCGCTAAGTTGTGGCTCCACTATAAATCTAAAGCCATCATAGTTATTTAAAAAATAGCCTGAATAACTTTTTCCGTACAGCCTTAACTGGTAAATGCAGCCACACTGCGACAACAAAAACATTAAGTCTGTTGTCGAATAATAAAGTCCTGCTTCTGTCTTGAATATTTTAGGAAGTCTTAGTATTCCTTTAGAAGTTCCATTCCACTCAGAGATACGAATCTCTACGTGGTTGAGACATTGTTGTTGTTGTTCCTCATAGCCTTGATTAACAGCATTAGGAAATCCTGTCAGAAATTGGCAGCTTGGTTCAAAAAAGTTCTCGTTATTAGAATACATTTTATCTATCTTTTTAAGATCTTCTTAGTATTTTTGAAAAGAAGAAAATTGTCAGGTATATAAAAGAACTTTTTTGAGTTCTATTTTTTTAATTCCCGGATAAATTAGTTTTACAACTAATTAAAGTAACAATTTTTTTTTAGAAGATTTTTGGTGTTCTATAATTATTAAAAACACCGAACAATTTCGATTTAAATTTCTTATTAATAGTTTTCTTATTCTTTATTTGGTGTTTTCTGATTTTTCTGGTAATATTTTTTAAAATTTTGTTAAAAAAACATTCAATTGATTAAAGTTAGTGTTATATCTTTTTGTTTCTTCTTCTTTTTATTTATATCTTCATAGTTTATTCTTTGCTCTTATTTATTACTTATTTTTATTTTCTTCTTTTATTTATATCTTCATTCCTTCTTCTTTACTTATTTCACTCTTTCTTCTACTTTTATTATATTCTTCTTATCTATTTGAGATTCGAAGGAGTACATCAGAGACACCACACACTTCCCTAAAATATTTCCATCATTCAAATCCCCCCAGTTATGGACTGGTTATGAAGTTACCATTGGTTAGAAAAACATCCTAATCAATACTACAAGAATAACAGTGATTATTATTTACATTGATGGGATATATTGATTATAAAAGAATGAGTATTTATAAAGATGGTATTACCACTTGTTAGAATACAAGTATATTTGATAATATAAGATTATCAAAGAAAAGGGTGTGTGGTTGATGCTAAAAAGAGTATTAACCCATGGTGATGTAGTAGTAATTATGTACTCTCCTTAAAATAACAAAATAAAGAAGAGTTTTAATACTCATCAAAATCAAATAGAAATTAAATAATGAATATTTAAATAATAGATGTTTAAAATACTCTATTCAACATTAAATAGATGAGAAAAGGAAATTGTTACAATTCAACAACTAAAATCAAAGAACAAGCTAATAAATGATGAATAAACACTTTTAAAAGAAATGGATTAATTAGTCTCCACTGAACGATGAACAGTATAAAATATTTATATTAACACTTAATTATCTACTTTTTCTATTTTTATTTTCTTATTCTTAGTTATTGTGTTAATTTATATTTCTTTTCTTATTTTTTATTAGTTCTTTTTCTTTTTTTAATAATTTCTTATTTTTTTCTTCTTATTATTTTATATTTCTGTTATTTCATTATTAGATTCTTTCTTGTTCTTATTTATTTTTCATTTTAATACATATTTTGTGTTTTATTGATTATTTGTCTATGTGACTCAATTTATATTTCTTATTTCTTATTTCTTTTATCTTTTTCATTTTTAATGTTTTGTGATATTTCAAATATATTTAATGTAAAAAGATGAATTAGAATGAATTAAATTATTATGTTTGTATTCATTTATATCAACAATATCATTCAAATAATTGTTATTTATTTTATTTTGACTATTTCATCATTTCTATTTATTACATTATATCATTATTCATCATTTCTAATTTCAATTAAAATATTAATATTCATTTAAATTGTATGTTCAATATCCATTTCATCTTAAGTTCATAATTCGTAAATAAGAAGTGAATGAATATTAAATTCAGTTCATACATTCCATTCATTGTTAAATGTTCTAACAAAACAATCTTTATCAAAATTAGATATGATACTATTCATTGAAACAGCATGAAATCAAAAAGAAAATATAGAACTTAAATAGTTAGAAATGAAGAAGTTAAAATAAAATTAAGAAGTAATTTTGTGAATGTTTTAATAATGAGATTGTTATGACAAATTTCATTGTTTTATTCTTTTGTACTTTTTCAACACCTTGTTGCTGGTTTATTGTTCCACTTGGTACTTGTTTTGTATAATAATATTTTATGGTATTTTAGTTTTAATAGCATTCATTAGATAACATAAAATAATAGAATAAAGAGAATTAGTTGACTTACAGAGGTATGAGATAAATGAATGAATCAAAGATACTTGCTCATCTAAGATATGGATAATTTGTTTATTAAACATTTTATTATATCATATCTCTTCTTTTATAATTTCTTATAAATTATCAATACTTCCTATTGATAGATGATAAAGGACTATTTGGGGGGGATTGCTTTTGTTTCTCGTTAGAAAGTATTAATAATAAAAAATGATTTGCATTAGACAATGTAAATGGAAAGATTTTTTTTGAATAATGCCGAACTATAAAATAAAAAAGAGCACTGAAAAAAGGAATTAATAATGCTGAAATCATTAACTCATACACAACAAAAATTAAATATAACATTTACTATTGTTGAAATAGAAACAGGACCAAAATCCGATTTATCAAAACCGATGATAGTTAAACTTACAAGAAGTGAACTTGAACGACAAACATCATTTAAACCAAACGAGCCATTAAATTATCGAATTAATTTTATTGGGACATTTTATATATCAAAGGATAATGTTAAAGAGAAACATTTAACTTTAACACTCCAAATTAGAGGAGATACTAAAACTCAAAGTCCAACAATCATTAATTTATCAGAATTTGTTCATTTAAAAGGTGTAGAACAATCATTTACAAGAAGAGTATTATTTAATGGAGCAATGTATACTGTTAAATGTCAAATCATTATCTCAGACATTGGAATTAATTATCCAATAAATTCAGAAGTACCAAATGTTACTCCAAGAGTTCCAACTCATCTTCCTCCTCAAAAACCTTTACAACAACCTCAAGTTAGTGTTAACATAACGCCTCAAAAAACAAAAAAAGAAATTAGATTAACTCATTCTACTAGTTCGTTATCTACTCTTCCTCAACATTACTCAAATGAACCAATTATATCTCCAAGATCTACTAGAAGAGAGATTAGAGCTACTAATTCAAGTGCTACTTTAAATGTATTAAGATCACCTGAAATAAGAAATGGAGAAGGAAGAATTCCAAGACCAACTCAAAGATCAGTTGGAGTATCAAATCAACGTACTAAACTTACAGTTTCGTCATCAATATCATCGTCAGGACAAGACAGTATTCCGTCAAGTCAAAATCCATCACCAAGATTAGAAGACTCAGAAATTACTAATGAAATGAATCAATTATTTAAAGATATTGAATCATTTGAAACCATTCAAATGATAGAAGAAAATAATAAAACATTACCAATGCCATTATTGATGGAAATAATATGGAATTGTGTAATGAGTAATAATTTATTAAATAATCAAATAACAATAATTTATGAAATAATTAGAGTTCTTCATGAAAAATTAAATGATGATTTTATACAAATGAAATCATTAGCATACTTAAATTCTACGTTATCATGGATTTGTATTTATTTAACAAAGTCATTAAGAAATGAAAGAAATGAAAAGGTAAATCAATTATATGAATACTGTAAAATAAATTTAATTGAAAGTTCAAATGTTCTTTATGAAAGTATAAAAAAAATGATTAATCAAATAACAAATATATGGTTACAACAACAAGATAATTCACAAACATTTCTTGATGGAATTGATAAAATATTAACTCAGTGTAATTCAGTACATTATCCAAAAAATTATTATGAAATATTAACACAGGATATAGTTAAAATTATTAACACTAAAACAATTCATTGTATTATTTATTCTAAATATACAACTGAAGAAACTGGTATGTATTCTCAAATTCTTGTTCAATTAACTACTGATTTATTAGAAAGAAAAAATATTCATACAGAATTAACTTTACTTAAAGAACTTGCTGCTGTATTAGTTATTCAAAATAAAGACATTTTAGCAGGAGATGCAAGTATTGAAATTTGTCCTCATCTTACAAGTGTAACTCTTATTCAAGTTTTAAATACTTTAAAAGAAAAAAATCCTCAATGTATTTCTACAAGTACATTAACACTAATTCAAAGAGAACGAAATGGAATTCAATATTATGATGACACTTTAAAATTAACTAAAAAAGAAAAGATTAATGACTGTATTAACCAATCAATTCCTGATACTACTTCTTTACTTCAAATAGAAGAACTTTGTAAACTCTTTAAAGAAAGAAATTACTTTAAGTTAAATGGTTTATTTGATTAAATAATAGTAATTTTTATTTTATTTAAATTATTCTTTTTATTTTATTTAAAAAAGAACTTCAAAGTGTTATTTTTAAATATGAAGTGGTGGTGTATTATTTTATTTATTTCTTGGTGTTGTTTAAGTTTTATTGGATATTTTACTTTAAGAAATTTATTTAGAAAAGAATATAATATTTCTACTCCTTTACAATGTTCAAACCTTTTTAGTTTAATACAAAAAGAAAGATTATATTACTCTTCTTTTCCTCCATCTATTAGTTCGTTTATGAAAGATTTATCTTCTTTTGAATCAGAACAAAAATTTAAAAATAAACTTCAACAAATGTATGGAATATATGACTGGACTTATACAATATTTTCTGATCATTCATCTTTTAGAAATGATTTTCAATTAATGATAAGATATTATATATTAAGATGTACTCATTTTAAAGAATATTATTAATTTATATTTTATTGATTTTATTGTTTTATTAAAATTAAACCATAAATTTAAATTGACATAAACAACACACTTTGTTTGTCGTGTTTTAATTCAATTTGAACATATGAAGAAAATATGAATTTTTTCTTTCAAAAACTAATCAAATAAAATACTTTGTAATGTCTTATCATTCATTGGAATAAATTTACTTGTTGATTTAGACGTTTCACTATTCAAATATTTACTGATAATTTCTCCTTTTTTAGTGATATCTTTTTGTGTTAA